CTCACACACACACACACACGCACACACACACACACTCGCAGTGCTGATGTCATGATGACTGTCAGTAAATCAGCTGTCAGTGTGGCGATGGACTGCAGGGTGTGTGTATCACTGTGACCAACACAGACCCATCAGCACTAACACATACTTCACTTTTTTGATTAAAATAAAAGGCTTTTGTGAATACATTTCAGAAAACAGATGAAACAAGCACGAGGCCCTTCAGTGAGCAACCGATCAGGCGCTCAGAGGAAAACTGGCCGATTTCTGCACTAATTTCGTGCTAATACTTTTAATTTAATGTTCACATTTTCTGAAATTGCTATAATATTGCAATATAATACATGGTGGGAAATTCTGACATTAGAAACTAAATTGAAATTGGGATGTGAATGTTGGAATGAGTGTGGTGAGAGGAACCTTATTAAGTGTAATTTGTTATGCACTGCAGCGGCAGAGAGAGAGAGAGAAAGAGAGAGAGAGAGAGAGAGAGAGAGGGAGAGAGAGAGAGAGAGAGAGAGAGACGGGCAAAGAGGAATCCTGGTTATTATGTGGTTGTATGACGGTGGAGTGTTTGTGTGTGTGTGTGTGTGTGTGAAGCAGCTGTCAGCAGTCTCACATACACACACACACACACACACACACGCCCGCGGCGACCCTCAGGGTTACACACACACACACTCCTGTCTGCGAGCGTCTCACCTGCTCACCTGAACACAGAGAGACACAGAGACAGAGACAGCTCTTTAAAGCTCTGTGTGATGTGTGTTCATACAAACACCTCTGAGTCTCAGAACAAACGCCTGACAGACAGACGACAGATCAGTTCACACAAACACACACACACACACACACACACAAAGCAAACTGACAAACTAACACACATTCAGGCAGACAAGCACAAAATCAGGTTTGAAACTGCAGCGATATCAACCATAAAGTGCATGAATGTGAATAATAATCTGCAGCAGAAGACTGTCCCATCAGCAATCCAGCAATAGTATTTATTCATCTTTTTAACGTTAGTTAATAAAAAAATTAAACTGTTCATTATTAGTTCATGTCAGTTAGATCCATTAAATAATTACATAATATTATAATATGAACTTCAAAGTTGACATTAACATTAACTAAGATTAAAAAAAAAAAAAAATTTTAGATTTTTTTTTTTTAAATGTAAACTAATGTAGTTAACTAATGTTAACAAATGGAATTCATGCCATTAGATAATGCATTAACGAACAATAAGCAATACATGTATTTATTAATCTTTGTTAATGTTGGATAATAAAAATGCAGCTGTTCATTGTTAGTTTAGGTCAGGTAGGTCCATTAAATAATTACATCATATTCTAATATGTACTTAAAAGTTGACATTAACATTAAGTAAGATTAATACATGTTTTAGATTTTTTTTTTCATTATTATTTTTGTTAGTTAATGTTAAATAATGTAGTTAACTATTGTTAACAATTCGTGCCATTATAGTTAATGCATTAACTAACAATGAGAAATACATATACTATTTATTAATCTCTTTTTTACGATGACACAAGGAATCAAGCAGTTGAGATTTGCAATAGTATTGCCCTATGCGGATACACTGTGTTATACTGTATGTATATGGATAATGTTGTACACATTTATCCAACTTTATATAAAGAGCTGAGCGATAATATAGTTACATTCTGTGACGATACAAGCAATCAAGCAGCATCTGAGTCACGAAACTCAACAAAAGAAAACCTGTCAGATAACCAGCAGGTTGTTTATGTGAAAACTCATGAATCAGTTTCACGAGCTGCAGGTTCTGAAGATGGAAGCTGAGTTTCAGTGGCGAGGAGTTGTGTGTCCGGCTGCGTTTAAGGACACTGGAGCGGCTCAATGGAGCTTCTCTAAGCAGATTCCACACGAGAGCTCGGTGTGTGTGTGTGTGTGTGTGTGTGTGTATGTGTGTGTGTGTGCGTGTGTGTGTGTGTGTTCACTGTGGGAAACAGATGGAAAAGTCTCAACAGGGAATGCCGAAATTCCGGTCAGGAGAAGGTGATATCGGAGCCTGACTGCCAGCATGTCCGGAACACCTCACGGGAAACACACACACACACACACACACACACGTGTGTGTGAGGAGGGGCTCCAGACCAGAGTGGTTTTCTGGCACTTCAGCATTACTGTCAGGACTCGAGCGTCCGTGTGTCTGCGTGTTCAAGCTGTTCGAGACTAACCTGGAGAGTTAGGGTTTCTGATGACGATGGAGAGGGATGTACTGACCGGTCGGTCTGAATTCAGACGCTTCTGAGATGCAGAAAGATGCCCTGAAGAGAGAAAAATCACACTAAGAACATTAATTCTCACAATCTTTCTCTATTTTGGTGATTGACAGCTGTCTATATTCAGTTCAGGTGTTCAGTGATCAGGTGGCTTCAGCGCTTTTACATTTATTCATTAAACAGACACTTTTTGACAAGTTCAAAACACAAGCAAATGATCCTAACGTGCATTAACATGAGAAATGCTGCAATAGAAAGTTCCTATCCTGCATCAGTGAAACGAAAGCCAGGGATTTTACAGTAAGACTTTACAGTAAGGTAACATTAGTTAATGCATCAGGTATAATCAACTAACAATTTGTACAGCATGCCTTAAAGTCAAGTCATGCATTAGAGTCAAGTCTTGTGCTCAAGGCCTCCTTCATGGACAAGCCAAATAGGTTTCTCATCATCTCATGCAAAGATCATATGGACATGCAAACTAATTAAAATTATCTTCTACAACACCAACAAAGCACATGCTACCATTTCAACGTTTGGGATGTTTCAGAAGTCTCTTCTGCTCACCAAGGTTGCATTTATTTGATCAAAAACAATGTAAAAACAGTAAAAATTTGAAATATTATTACAATTTAAAATAGCAGTTTTCTATGTGAATGTATGTTAAACTGTAATTTATTTATGTGATGCGCAGCTGTATTTTCAGCATCATTACTCCAGTCTTCAGTGTCACATGATCTTCAGAAATCATTCTAATATGCTGATTTGCTGCTCAAGAAACATTTCTGATTATTATCAATGTTGAAAACAGTTGTGCTGCACAATATTTCTGTGGAAACTGTGATGCATTTTATTTTTCAGGATTCACAGATGAATAGAAAGTTCAAAAGAATAGCTTATTTCAAGCCTCTACAGTCTCCTAATCGAAGAGAGAAAGTGTATTTAATATCTCAATGTTTCTCCTAAGCAGCAATGAGACTAAAACAAGGTCAAACTGAGACTCCTGATTATCCAGTGTTTCTACTGAGAAAAAAAAAACACTCCAGCAATCTCCCGTGTCTCAAGAAGATCTCAATGATGTCTCATACAGTCAAAACTCGAGACATTTCAATATGAACTCAACCGTTTCTCGTCAAATGATCTGGGCTGCTCTTCACATTCATTTTTAGCTTTATACTTCAAAAGAAGCAAAGCTGACACGTAAATGAAACTCCTCTGCATCTCCTGAGCTTTTAAAAGCAGCCACTGAGGAGTGATTGTCGTTCTTCTGCATGTGTTTGTCAGATCAGAGCAGGTCTGTGTTGAATGTGAGCCGCTGTATTGGTGGCAGATGGATGTGTGTCGGGACGTGACTTCATCTCCGCATTTATAAACTCTCTCTGTCTCTCGAGCGAGTCTAGTCAGGTAAATCTGCACACATTCTGGACTGTTCTGGCTGCAAGTTTGTGACTTCAGCCCATCTGTGATGGTGACAGACGGAAAAGAAGACATGAAAGTGTAAAAGCGACAGAGAGATGGAACAGGTTTGTACTGATTCAGAGGCAGCAGCATAAAATATTCTGTGTGCTCTCAAACACATCGACAGGAAGAAGAAAACAAAGTCGACTCTGCTGCTCCTCCACACCGTAAATTAGTTATTATTATTAATGTATTATAAATATTCATTTGTGGTTGCATGTTGAGGTTAATGTTTTGCTCATGCTTTAATTCAGCAGAAAAAATAAATATATATAATTAAAGCTTGATTTGTCTTTAATCATACCATGCTGCCATAAGGATGAAATATATGGTCAAATATAAGCTTTTAAATAGCTAAGTAAATAAATGTAATCATGCATTTGAGGAAGATATTCCTCATGATTGACTCTGTCTGAACATCTGCAGCTAGACGAAGGAAATACCTGTGAACAGATCTGGTTTTCATTTGACCGCTTTTTATTCCCTTTGAAGAGATTTATTTTATTTTTTTCTCCCAATGCTTTAGCTTGTGCAGCGACTAAAGAATAACTTACACATACTGAAGAAAATCAATAATACAAGTTTTTTTTTTTTTTTTCATATGTGACCACAGAATGCAATTAACGTAAACTAAACATTGCAAACTGTCAAACTAGTTATTATTATTAATGTATTATAAATATTCATTTGTGGTTGCATGTTGAGGTTAATGTTTTGCTCATGCTTTAATTCAGCAGAAAAAATAAATATATATAATTAAAGCTTGATTTGTCTTTAATCATACCATGTTGCCATAAGGATGAAATATATGGTCAAATATAAGCTTTTAAATAGCTAAGTAAATAAATGTAATCATGCATTTGAGGAAGATATTCCTGATGATTGACTCTGTCTGAACATCTGCAGCTAGACGAAGGAAATACCTGTGAACAGATCTGGTTTTCATTTGACCGCTTTTTATTCCCTTTGAAGAGATTTATTTTATTTTTTTCTCCCAATGCTTTAGCTTGTGCAGCGACTAAAGAATAACTTACACATACTGAAGAAAATCAATAATACAAGTTTTTTTTTTTTTCATATGTGACCACAGAATGCAATTAACGTAAACTAAACATTGCAAACTGTCAAACAATGCAAATGCAATAAATATTCCTGTCCTAGTGCATGCTGAGAAAACCAACACTAACATAATTTACTGACTAGAAGTATTAAAATAGTTGAATGCAAGAAACTTACTGCCAAAAATGCATCTAAAAGCTCTAATGAAATCTGTTGTGACGGTATAAATGTCTTTATTATCACTTGTGATCAATGCATTGCATCCTTAATGAATAAAAGTATAAATTTCTAAATAAATAAATCCCTTGTTTTCCATTAACTATATCTAAACATTCTTAAATCAAGATACATTTACTTTGACTTTTAGGTCTATTAATGTCACGCCCCTGGACGTTCTGTGTGTGTGTTGTGCTCCCCGTGACCTAGTTTTCCCTCATGGTTGATTGTCATTCTGTTCACCTGTGTTCCCTTAATTATCCTCATTAGTTGCTTGTTACTTAATCCCAGTGTCCGGTGTCGTCTGTGTAATGTGGTTGTCTTCCTAGTTCTCTGTGTTAGTTATAATAAATGTGGTTTCCCGATCTTGCGTCGTGCTCTTCACCGCAGCCACACGTGACAATTAAGTCTTGTTTTCTGCAAAATCTACCAAAATTAAGTGAGTTTATGATTAAAATAAGAAATAAAAATATCTGCAATTAATTCAAAGGGAAACTAAATTACTTTTCTTGCCACAATTACTTTTTTTTTCTTGTTGTTTTAAGCGTAGACTCACTTAATTGTGTTTCTTTCTTTTTCTTTTTTTTTTTTTTTTCTTTTTCAGAAATCAAGGCTTAATATTTTAAGTAATTTTGCTTCTCAAGTAAATATATGTGACCCTAGAGCACAAAACTAGTCTTAAATCGCTGGGGTATAAAAAAAAAAATAAACACTGTATTGGTCAAAATTATCCATTTTTCTTTTATGCCAAAAATCATTAGGATATTAAATAAAGATAATGTTCCATGAATATATTTTGTAAATTTCCTACCGTAAATATATCTAAACTTCACTTTTGATTAGTAATATGCATTGCTAAGAACTTAATTTGAACAACTTTAAAGATGATTTTCTCAATATTTAGATTTTTTTGCACCCCAGATTCCAGATTTTCAAATAGTTGTATCTCGGCCAAATATTGTCCT